GGTGGTTGGGTGTGTGTGGGGGGGGGGGGGGGGGGGGGGGGGGGGGGGGGGGGGGGGGGGCGCTTGTGGGTGAGTTTGGTCATTACCGCAGGAGTTCCGCTCTCTTTCATCTCTTGCATGTACACACCTCTTCGGTCACACGTGGAACATGAAAGCCTTTGCCAGAAACCAAGGAGATGAAGTCACCTGATCTTGGCTTTTAGAACTGCAAGCTCCATAAACCTCTTTTCTTTGTAAGTTGTCTACTCTCAGGTAGTTTGTCCCAACTATGGAATAGCTAATTCAGTATCATCAGGTGATCAAATTCCACTTAAGTTTTGCTAAACAGAAACTTAATGAATTCAAACTTTTGTGTTTTTGTATGGGTACATGTGTACCTGTGGACACCAGAGTTCAATCTTGGGTGTCCTTCCTCAGAAACTATCTGTGCTTTAAAAAACATTTTTTTTTTTTTTTTGCTGGGCATGGTTGTGAATGCCTTTAATCCCTACACTCAGGAAGCAGAGGTAAGTGGATCTCTGTGAGTTCAAGGCCACAGTGGTCTACCTGTCAAGTTCCAGGCCAGCTGGGGCTACAGGGAGACTCTGTCTCAAAAAAAAAAAAAAAGACAAAAAATTAATTTTATGTGTATAAGTGTCTTGCCCGTATGTATATAATTGCACCACGTGTACAATAACCGTGGAGGCCAGAAGAGAATGTTGGATCTCCTGGAGTTGGAATTAACAGATGGTTGTTAGCCACCATGTGGGTGCTGGGAACTGAACCTGGGTCTTTTGCAAGAGCAGCCAGTGCCCTTAACCATTGAGTCATCTCTCTAGTCCCCTTATGTTGTTTGATGGGGTCAGGGTATCTCAACCTGGCTGGCCAGTGAGCCCTAGGGATCCACCTGCATCTGTCTCCCTCGTGCTGGGATTACAGGTGCATGCTACTGAAAGTTGGGGAGATGGCTCAGGGCCAAGATCACGTCCTGTTCTTCCAGAGGCCCCAAGTTTGATTCCCAGCCACTAGGCTGACAACTGCCTGAAAGTCCCCGACACCCTATCTTATGGCTTATGTGAGCAACCATACAGTGGTGTGTACACACACACACACACACACACACACACACACACACACTTTAAAAATAAAGAGTGGAGGTAGAGAGCTGGCTCAGAGGTTAAGAGCATGGGCTGCTCTGGCCGAGAACCGGAATTTGAATCCTAGCACCCACATGGGGGCTAACCATATGTAATTCCAGTTCCAGGGGATCCAATGCCCTCTTCTGACCTCTGCCAGCATTGCAAACACGATGCACTTACAAACATGCAGGCAAAACACTCATACACATAAAACAAACTTATGAACATTTTAAAAAGTGGAAGTCACCATGCCTAGCCTGTGTATTCTGGGGACCAAACTCAGGTCCTCCTCTTGACATAGCATGCACTTTACTGAGCCATCTCACCAAGCCTTCAAACCAAAAATTCTTTTGAGACAGGGTCTCCCTGTAGCCCTACCTGACCTGGAATTCACTATGTAGACCAGGCTAGCCGTGTTCTCACAAAGACCTGCCTGCCTCTGCCTCCCAAGTGATAGGATTAAGGGAGTATGCCACCACACCTGGCTTCCCATTTATGAAAGTCAACTGTGGCTCTCTCTGGAAGATCCTGCTTCAAAACCCCAGAGCAGCACCGTCCCAGCATACACTGAGTCCCTCCAATGTCCATCTGTAGTTGGGAACTACTCAAGAGTGAGCCACAATGGGGTGTGGCAAGAGCCTTCTGGAATTCTCTTGGACAGCCAGGCTCTGGGAGCCTCACTAGTGTAGTGGGGCTCCAGGTGCCAAGGGCTGGGACACCAACCCTTAGCCCACACTACGTTGTTTCCACCATTAAATCCTTCCAGGCCCAATCCAAACCTGTGCCTACCCCAGATCCCTTGGAACTGGAGTTTGGATCCCACACAGACAGGAACCTGCAGGGTCCTCAGAGGGTGAGGGGCCTACAGCTGACAGGAGGTTCTTGGCAGCTGTCTAAGCAGTGGTGCCCTGCTCCATCCACCTGCTAAGAGGCCTCCAGCAGCAGCTGCTATAGGCATGAGCATGCAGGGAGTGAGATTCTCACGTCCTACTCAGGATATGCTACTGCTGCTGCTCAGCATGGCGCTGGACAACTCTGTAGAAACTGGTAAGAGACCTGATGGAGCCAGTCAGTTCTGCCAGAGCCAGAGCCAAATGCACCTCAGAAATGGAAGACAGGACACCAGAGTCCTGGCAAAGGACACCTTCTATCCATCTGACCAGACCAAGCACCCACCTGCTGCCCATGCAACCACTGTTACAACCCCCGTTCACCCCCGCTGCCAGCTCTGCTTTGTGATACAGCCCTTTGGCACCTGCTCCTGTGGCAGCAGCACAATGCTGGACCCTCACTGCAGGACTCAGGTGACTGTGTCCTATCCAGGCCCAACCTCCCATCCTGCTCCTGGTTGCTGAGGCGGAGGCAGCCAGCCTATGCAAGTTCTGCTTGCCATCTGACTTTTATTTCATTTTGTTTTCTATAAAACTCCTCCATAATTTCACAACTTAACAAAAGAGTTTAAAATGTGGACAGAAACAGTCCTGGAACTCGTTACAAACACGACCTCCTAGTTCCTTTTATCCAGGGTGTGGTCTGGGGCATCACGTGTCAATATTCCTGGAGACACATTGTGGGTGGGAACCCTGGTGGGCAGGACAGGTATCGGATACCTTTTGCTCCCCACTGTCTTGCGAACTTTGAGGAAGTTGAGCACAGGGCCTCACACTGGGAGCGGCTCGGTATGTGGCAGTTGGGGTGCCGCCCCTTCCTATGGAAGTGTCCAGAACCCTGAGGGTCAGGCTGCAGGGTATCCTAGGCCATCACACAGTGGCCCCAGGGCAGGTCTGAACAATGGTGGTGACCTTCCGGCCAGAGGTAACTGAGATGGGGCACTTCCAGGCCATGAAAAGGTCTGGAAAGCTGGACACTGAGGCCCAGGGCAGCAGGTGGACTGGGCCGTTGAGAGAAGGAAGACCATGCCTCAGGCTGGGCTGAGGTGTTGCTGGGCCCTATGGACATAGAGGCCAATGGCTGCCCCACGCCAGGGCCTGCTGTCCATCTTGGAGTTTGCGGGGCGCCTAATGTGGAGTATTGTCGGCCTGGGAAGGGGAGGTGGCAAGCCCACTGTCCTTAGTTCCTCCAGTGGAGGTGAGGGCTGTGGGCCCAGGTCATCTGTCCCTAGGGGTCTGGGAGAGCCTTGGAGGCCGGGGTTCCCCAGGAGTACTCAGCATCTGCCTGACAGATGGACTGGGAGCAGGGACAGGGCAAGAGGGCGTGGGGCAGGAGGCCGGGCCTCGGGGGTGACCCACACAGGAGGAAACAACACTGAGAGTGGCCAGGGCCTGGCCTCTTTAAAAAACACCTTGGTCACAAACACTGACAACGACGACGACGGGTGTTGGGGGTGGCATGTGATCAGGCCTCGGGGGGTGGGGAACAGGGCCCCTGGGGTGCACAGGGCACAGGTCCAGTCTCCTGCAAGGCCCACAGTGGAGGTCGGGGCCAGGGCACAAACCATCCCGTCCCGTCCTATTTGGCAAAAGCTCATTTTTCAAAGTTCAAAGATTTGATCAGCGAAAGGAAAGGAGGAGCCTGTGAGGGACGGGGCATGTGGCTGGTGCATGGCCGCAGAGGTGCCTCTAGGTGCCCTGGCACCCGTGGTAGTGTTCACTGGCCTGGGGCCACAGGAGGCAGTAGCGTCCTGGGATCCAGAGGGAGGATCCTCCACACCTCCTGCACAGGGACAACCATGGAGACACCTTAACCCATGAGCCCACCCCCATCTCAACGTGCACACAGGACTGCACCCATGGGACCATGCCCGGGTGCACACATATACACAATATACACAGAGCTGCACAGCAGGGTGGCCTGGCACAGGGCCTGCAGGACACACAGCCAGGTATCCAGGTGGCTGCTGGCCACGGACACGCAGACAGAGCCTCCCACTCCGGGAGGTGGGCTGGCTGAGGGGGCCTGTGAACAGTGTGGGGAGGCTGGGGTCATCCTGGCCGCTCAGAGAGGCCGGGTAGTGACCTGTCACTCAGCCCCACCCAGTGTGGCCAGGGGAGGCTGGGCGAGAAACCCTGGCCACACATGTCCTGTGAGCTGCAACCCCCAGTCCCCGTGGGAATGTGGCCCACCACTGTCTTCAACCAGCACCACTTGAGGGGTGCCGGGGGTGGCATGGTTGGCTGGGTCAGTGCCCAGAGCTGGTGCCACGGTGGGCCAGCCCTCCGCCTGGCCCCTCCCACATGCTTCACGGCGCCCATGGTGGCGGGGTCTCAGAGGCCACACTGCCAAGTGCAGCTGGTCCTGGGGCCGTGGCGGGCACTTGGGCAGCGTTGCGGGCACAGGTAAGGAGGAGGCCAGGGTGCCACCCCCCTGTCCCGCGAGCGCTGGCTGTGGCCAGGGTCATGTGGCCACAGCCTCCAGGTAGCTCTGCAGCTTGCGTACAGTGCTCTCGTCCAGGGAGAAGAGGTCAAAATCAAAGGTAGTGTTGGTGACGTTGAAGTGACCAGTCTCCTCGATCAGGTTGACAATCTAGAAGGGAGCCAAGGGGGGATTGGGGGCTTCAGGAGATGGATATGGAGCACCCACGCCCTAGGAGGGAGGGTGAGAGGGGAAGACGTACCTGCTGCAGCACATTGCGCTCACGCAGAGCCATCAGCCTCCTGTGTAGCTCCACCAGCTCATCTGTGTAGGCCTGAGGGGAAGCGAGGTTGGCAGGTGGGGACACTCCGTATCAGCGAAGTTCAGCCCTGGGACACCCACCCAAGACCCCGGGATGCCCCACCTTGTCATAGGCGCCTTTCTTCATAATTTTCTCAGGCTTGCTGCAGGGCTCAGGGCTCCTCCGGCCAGATGCCTGTGGGGACCTCCATGCCTGTGAGTCCACAGCCCTCCCCACCATCCCCAGTCTCCCAGGTTGGCCACAGGGAGCTGCTCAGAACCCAGCTGGCTCACCTTACTACCGGGAGGGGGTGGTTTCTGGGGGGGCGGAGGCTCACGGCCAGGAAGGCAGGAGTCAGCACTATTGTCACTCTCGCTGTCGCTGAAGCTGAGCCTGTGCAGACAGGGCCACTCAGCGTGGCCACCCAGTGGTCACGCTCAGCCACAATGACAATTGTGGGGTTCCGTGCACTGGCCCTGTCCCGTGCCCTGGGGTATAGCTGTTGGAGCCCAGGTCCACTTGCCCTCCATGACCCTCCAAGACCCTGTGGGGCTCCAGGTGGCCACTGCCCTTTAAGATGGCCCTGTGGGGATCCACCAGCTCTGACCTCTGGAACCCTGGTACAACTGAAGGTCTAGGAAGAGGTGAGGCTCAGCCTCAGCTCTGGGCTCAGACTGGCCTTTCCCTTCCTCACCCCCACATCAGCCGGCTCTGTCCGGGGCTGCTGATTCTGAGGCTGCTGTGGGGCTCCAGGTCAGGCTGTTGCCAGGCAACGGGCAGCCTCTGGCTCCTCCTCACTTCCGCCTCTTCCTGTGCCCAACAGGTGGCAGCTAGAGCCAGGGCCCCCAGGGAGCAGAGCAAGGCTAAGGCTTTGCCAGCACCATGGGGGGGTGGACTGTGCAGCCACTCCTTCATGACAGGGACAGACGCTCTATCCCTGCTGACCGGCAAGCTCTCCCTCAGGGCCCATCATAATCAACCCCAAAGAGGACCTCAACAAGGCTTCTTTGCCTCCGTGTCCACAGAGGACCCCATGCAACAGTGTGCCTCTCAGATGCCCTGCCTGTACTGCTTCCCTGTCCCGTTCTAGAAGTACCATCCTCCCTGTGACCAGAGGACAGATCTTCAGGGTCTGAATCCCACTGCCACATGGTGGAGGGTGCTCTGTGTGTGGGCAGACCAGGGCCACAATCTTGGCTCCTGAGGAAGGAGGTGGTCATCAGCATGCACAGAGATTCCCCGCCATCCGAACTAAAGCAGGGCCCCTGAGGCTCAGAGCCACTGTGCCTGCCCAGCCCTGGGTCTGGCCTGTCTACCCTGGAACCGCGGCTGCATTCACTCAGAAGGGCGCACACCAGCGCTCCACCCCCTCCAGGACCCAGGCACAGGCCTGAAAGGCAGGCTCGCTTATCATGCTGGGGAGGACAGCACCCCCACCTTGCATGCTTGACACACCTAGCCCTCCCATGGGCGGCCAACATTGAGCCTGGGTGAGAGATGCTGCCAAAGACTGTATGAAGGGTAGCACGCCTGGGGGAGGACAGCTGGCCAGCTCAGGAGTCCCCCAACCTGTACCCAGCAGTAGTGCCCCTCCAGGCTGCCCTTGCCCCAGCCTGCTCTCACTGCCCACTCACCTGGACTCCCGGCCTGGGTTGGCCTTGACTGTGGTCTCCTCTCCAGATGATGAGTCATCCTCATCTGACTCCTCGGACTGCAGGTCCTCCACCATGGAGCGCAGGGGGCCTGAGGCAAGCATAGGCCAGAGCTGAGCCCCTGGCCACCTCCCCCAAGGTCTCCAAACACCCACTAGCACCTGCAAGACCCCTCCTGCAGCAAAGCCCCGCACCAACCCCGAACTTGTCCTTTTTTCCTCCAGGCTCGGCACTCCCCCCCTACCTTCCCGGCCCTCATCACAGGCCTCAGGCCCGGGGCCCACCACTGGCCTGCTGGGCACGTCCATCACTGCAGCTGGGGCTCAGCAACCAGCAGGGCAGAGGTGTCGTGTTCTGCCTGGGGTAACAGAGTCCCCACCCAGCCTGCGCCCCTTCACAGGGCTGCTCAGTGCCTCAGTAACCCCGTGCTGCTCCTGGCCCACCGTCCTCCCCTTTCTCCAGAGGCACCAGTTCCAGGCCCCTACAGACGGCATCTTGGTTTATATTCCTGTTGCCATGGCAACAGAGGGACACAAAGCCCTCAATTACTTTGGTCACGTGATGCCGTTTCAGCCTTTCCCTCTACCCAGCAGATAAGAACCCGGGAGAGTGGGCTTCAAGGCCCCAGCCCCCAGCCCCCAGCCCAGTCTCCCTCACCCCCGGGGAGACTGTCCTGAAGAGGCGCAGGCTCATAGTGGCTGAAGATCTGCTTCTGGGTATGGCCCTGGCTGTGCTCTGCCTCATCCCACAGTGCCCAGGCCCCTTTGAGGCAGGACACTGCGGCCACCTGGCCTTCAGTCCCTCCCTGAGAAGCTTACCAGGCTCAGGCTGAACAGCCAGGTCCCACACAGAGCTCAGTCCTCTGATGGGACCAGGACAGGCTGGGCTACAGTGCTGAATGACCAGCCTCTTAGAAGGGGCACCTCATCATGGCTCAGGTCTGAAGACCCCAGGGAATGACTCCAGGGAAAGAACACAGTCCCAACCTGGCTGCAGGTCAAGAGACTTGCTTGTCTGCCTCTAAGTGGTCCCACACTGCCCAAAGATACTGCAAGTGTGCAGGGCACAGGGAGCACAGGTCTCATTAGCCTCACATACACCAGCAGAACGATGCTCAGCCCAGCCCAGGGGCACAAAGTTAAGGGAAGTGTGGCCTGGGGAAGTTCTGCCAGGGGCACTTGGCCTGGTGGGGAGCATGAAGCTCAGAAGGGGTCAGCCAAGGGGAGTGCAGGCTGGACAGTGAGCCCTGAGCTCCCCACAGGTCTCTCCCAGAGCACAGACTCACCATGTGCTTTCACCACCCCTGTGGACCCACCTTGGCTGTGGTTCTGAGATGGCTCGAAGTCAGAGTCAGAGCTGGAGTCGGAGCTGGAGCTGGAGTTGGATGGGCTTGACTGAGCCGACTTCAGCACATGTCAGAGCAACACAGAGAGGAGAGATCGTCATCTTCCAGTCCACAGAAGGGCACGGTGATGAGCCACAGACACCTAGGGTGCCCACACCTGAGAGCCCTCAGGGAGCCCACGCCCTAAGAGCCCAGCTGGCACAGAGCTCCTGCGCTCAGAAGGCGTGCGGTCTCCAGCCAGCTTGCCACTGTGGCTTCCACAGACCCACACACCTTCCCAGTGCTCAGATGCCACCATGCCAAGAACCAGCACAGCAGCTGGAGTGTGCATGTTGACAGAACCTGGAATCCTCCCAGCCTGGTCTGCCTGCTGCTGCACACTGACTCAACCACCAGGGGGCAGTGACAGCCAGAACAGGACAGAAGGATACCAGCAGGGCTGCAGCCCTGTGTTGTGTGCCCAGACTACAACTGTGCCTGTACCTGGAAGATGTGTATGTGGTATGTATGTGCTTGTGTGTAATGTGTTGTGATTGTGTTATGTGCTAAGGATGTGTGAAGTGTGTAGTGTATGTTGTGTATTAAGTGTACGTGACGTGTGTGGTATATGATGGGTATGTGGTATGTGAGGGGTGTGTGTGCCGTGTGTGTGGTGTATATGCTGTGTGTGGTCTATGGTATATGGTACATGCAATGTATAGTATGTGGTGTATGTGATATGGGACTATGGTATGTACTCGTGACTGACCATGGTAAGGGCATACTTGCCCTGACCAGGGTTTGGTCCCTGGCTGCCCTGAAGTGTGGACAGCTGAGCAGGCAGCAGGCCTGAGAAGGCCTCTCAGAGCCGCCTGTCCTCAGCTGGAAGCCCTACCCTGCTCCAAGGCTGAACGGAGGGGCACACCTCTGGCTTAGAGCTCAGGATCTGGAGCTCAACACCCCAAGACCTGCTGGGACATCTGGGACAGGGCACTGTGCACCCACAGAAGGGACCTGGGAAGCATTTGCCTGCTTGGGAGCACCAATGAGGTCAGACTGCCTGGGGAGGGAACATTCTAGACTGAAGAAAGGAACAGTCCTCTGCAGGATTCATGGCAGCCAGGCCTGGCTGCTGGAGCCCAGGTGTGCCTTATGGGACCTTCCTTATCCACCTTCCTTCTCATAGGTCAGCAGTGCCCCTCCCCCAGAACCCTCCCTAGGCATGCAGCTGCAGCATCTGTGCCCATGTCCACTGTGAAGCACTTGTGGTGGCATCCACACACCGGGCAAGCTATGACTGTCCTGCCTGGCTGGGCCCAGAGGACAGCACCCCTCTCACACCCACCCAGCCTTCTTGGATTTGGGACAAGCAGAGTGATGAATGGAGACAGTGGCCAGGGGCCTATTCCTGGCTCTGCTTTCTGTCCTTGCTCCACAGGCCTCAGTTTCCCCATTTATAATGGTGTGCCTAACCATTGCAGAACACGAGGGCAGACCAGGAACTGTGGGGACAGGAGCCTGTGTGGCTCAGGCCAGGGCCCAGTGTGCAGTGCAGCTGGTGGTGATTCAGGGCCCTGCCTGGCATCTATCTTCCTGCACAGACCCCAGAGGTAGGGACTCAAGGTATCTCAGGGTCCCAGGAGGCACAGTTTGACCATGGCAGTTTGACCATGGTCCATGGCTGGCCTAGCCTCACGTGGGCCTGTGGTGTCTGGGACTGATCCACACACACCAAAGGCCTGGAGCATGGAACAGAAGGGCCAGGCAGCAGAGCTCCTGGGCAGTGCACCTCTAGACCTCAGCCCCTGGGGTGACAGCCAGCGGGAGGAAAACACCACACAATGTCCCAGAACTCCCTGAATCAGAACACAGCTGGGACCTGGAGTCTGTACACTGTTTGGGCAGTGCCATCCCAGCATCCAGGCCTCAGGTACAAGACACACTTAGGGGTAGCCTGGGACCTGGAGGAGGCACTTGTCACCCAGAGTCACAGCTGCAGGAGTAGGGGTCACAGAGCCAGTAGCCAGGGTGCCACCTACAGCCTGCAAGCCTAGAGGGCATTGGAAGCCCAGGGCTTCTGCCGAGTCCTGTCTTTGAAGCCTGTGGCACCTGGCAGGTTACAGTGGTGAAGCTGTCTGGGAGCTGTGACAGTGCTGGGCTTAGGTTTGGCTCTGAGCTGGGACAAGCTTTCCAGAGGTGCCACGTGCACTGTGGAAGGTCCCTAGGGCCTGCTCCCTCAAATCCCTGCAGGGAATACCAGGTGCCAGGCACACAGCCCAACTTGTGGCCCACTGCCTTCTAGGCCCAGACAAGGTATGGCTGCTGCATCAGACTCATGGTGTACTCCCAGGGCATCTCCAGAGCTGCCTGGGCCTGAGGCTTGGCTGACTACACCCCTGAACACTGTGCAGGGTGGGCACAAGCAGTTAGGAGAGCCTGTGGGGAGCAACTCGGTGTGCTCAGTGGCCACTGTTTACCTTCTATGAGTGCAGTGGGGTCTCACTAGGAAGCTGGGAGAAATGGCCTGTGCAGGACCCTAGGGCTGTGAACCAGTGTCAGGCACTGCACTTGCCCAGAGCCTCTGCAGCAGCACCCAGGGACCCACGGCCACTACCTGACATTGGGGGAGACCACACCCAGCACCCACTCACCTCAGACCTAAAGGATGCCTCATCTTCAGAGTTAGACTCATCTGCCTCTGGGGCCTTCCTGGGCTCACGAGGCTCACTGTCAGCCTTGCCCTTATCCCCTTTGGCACTACTCTTGTCCTGTGCCGGCTTTCTGTCAGGGAAGCAGGATGAGGCACGGGGTGATGTGCCGGGGGTGCGCCGCGCACCCTTTGAGCTGCTCCTCTTCTGTTTCTTGGCACTGGGCTTGGGCGAGTCCGCAGCGGGCCGCTTGCTGGAGGCCTTGGGCAGGGTCGGAGGCTGTGGTGCCCCCTTGGGGGACACGCTGTCCAGCTTGGCCTCCTTCAGGGCCATCTTGGGCTCCTTGAAGGCAGCCTTGGGTGGCGGGGCCTTCTCTTCCTTGGGCGGCTTTCGAGGTCCTTCCTTGCAGCTCCGGGCCGGCTCTGGCTCCTTGGAGGATCCCTTGCTCTCAGAGTCCTTGCGTGGCCGCTCTCGGTGTTCCCGGCTCAGTTTGTGTGGCTTGGGAGCCTTGCTGCTCTCCTTGTTGGCATCCTGCAGGGCCAAGGACAGGGAGGGCGAGGGGACAAATTTAGCGGCCTCAAACTGCCAGTTCCACCTGGCAGAGACACAGCTAGAGTCTCAGTGAGAGAAAATGGGGGCAGCCAGAGACATAGCCACCCCTCCACCCCCCAACCCAATAAGGGTGGAAGGGCACTGCAGTGCTGCCATGGGGAGCAAGGGCCACTGTGGCCACCAGTGCTCACAGCTGCCCATATCAGGGAGGCCAAGGCTGAGCCTGGCTGGGGCTCCTGGGCCTAGGTGCTGCCCACCCACAGCACTCATGGCCCCTCCATTCCCTGCCAGAGGCATGGCAGTGGGGTCCCCAGTGCTTGCAGCCCACCCTGCAGCAAAGCTGGGAAGCCAGCACCTACTGAACGCTGACTGGTGAGCAGGCCCTGCACAGGACAAATGGCCCAGGTGGCTCTTCTACAAGCAGATGCAATCTCCACCTCAGAGATCCAAGGGGTTGGGGGTGGGGGTAGGGGTCAGGGGAGCTGGGGCTCAGGGTTGACTGTACACCTGAGGGTTACAAAGAGCCACCCTGCCCGGCCTTGGAGACTAACACTGAGGATGGAGCACCTACCTCACGGTCGAAGGCCCAGCCAAGAAGACACTGAGGCCAGTGCTGGTGACCCACAGCATGCAGGCTGAGGCCTGTACTCCTCTACCATCTGCACTGGCCCAGTCTCCCCAAAAGCCAGCGCTCCCTGCAGACAGGAGCCACCTTCCCAACCCATAACCTCAGTCAGCCAGCATTCCTGGGCTCATCTTGTGCCTCTCCTGGGAAGGTATGCCCAGGGGCCAGTTACACACAGCCCAGAGTTCTCCAGATGATGACTCCTCACATGCAGACCAGATCCCAAGGTGGGCAGCTAGCCCTCTGAAGGGTGGACAGAGCAAGCCCTCCTGAAGATGGACAATGAGCACTTCTGAGGGTGGATAGTGAGCCCTCCCGAGGATGAACAGAGCAAGCTCTCCTGAGGGTGGACAGAGCGAGTCCTCCCCAGAGAGGACACAGTGAGCTCTCTCAAGGGTGGATAGCGAGCATTCCCGAGGAGTGTGCTATGGCTCCCCAGCACGCTGCATGGGAGACCAGAAGCAGGGGGTACCATATGCAGCCCCCACCCTGAGTGGGCAAGCTGTTAGGTTGCAGGAGCTGGGGAACATCACAGCCACAAGAGACACAAGTGACTGAAGGGAGACGCACCCCCAGCCCTGAGTGTCTCCTGGGAAGGCGGCTCCTAGGGTTCACATAAAACGCAGAGTTTGAAAGAGCAAGGACCAGGTGAGGCTAGAGCAGACCCAGCCTCATTCTGCCCCAGCCGTGGGACAGGGAAGAACTGTGTTTCAGCAAAGGCAGTTGAGGCTCATGGGCTGCTTCCTCTTGCCAGAGACACCCCGGGGCAATCGCAAGGAAGCCTGAGACATTCACTTCCAGCTTGCTTGGTGACTCTGAGTGGGCACCAGAGACTGCAGTGCCTCTGGCAGCCTGGCCAGTGTTCACAGAAAGGCAGATGACTGAATTGTGCTGGCCAGCACCCGTCACTGAGGCCTGGACTATGCTGGCTGGCTGAGGCTTCTAAGGAGAGTCATTCAAAGAGAAGCGACGCCGGAACCCTGCTTGCCGAGGTCTGCGTGTGGCTGTGCCCAGCATGCCCCAGCAGTGCCAGAGAATGCTATGGGGGCCAATGGCAGGCCAGAAGGGTCATCGGCTGCCCTCCTGAATTCAAGATGAGTCTCCTGGCTGCCCGAGATCTTGCCCTGCTAGATGTATGGCATCATGTGGTTGGGGTGACCTGCATAGCACCTCACATGAGGAACAGCATCTCCTGCCCTGCCTGCTGTGTGGACTTCCAGGGACAAAGGTTGGGTGAGAGGCTTCAGGGCCTAGAGGTCAGTGGGGATGACAGCAGGGCCCCAACAGGACTCCAAGATACCGATCAGCCCGAGGATGTCACAGACCTATTGGCCTCGTGGAAAAGAACCAGAAGGATTCTCGCACTCACATCTGCTGAGCTGCCCATGGAAAAGATGGCCTGAGGGCCCTATCATCCCCTGGGGATGCTAGGTGACAGGGCTCCACAGGCAACAGAAATAAGAATAGGGAGATGAGGGTGGACAGACACGTGGGCAGCAGCCGCCCAATAGAGTCCCAAGAAAGCTGAGCCCCACAAGCACCACAAAGGGACAAACTGTAGGCTTATAGGTTCAAAAGTCACCGTGTTTCTGCCTCCAGGCTCTTCTGCCTGTCCTTGGGGTGGCCTAGGGGAAGGTTCGAGAAGAGAGCCCACAGGCGGGACTAGCAAGATTAGAAAGTGTCTTTTTGTGCAAGGATTCGGCCAGTCACCCATGTGCTGCCCCACTGCCCCATGTTGGCTCTCCCTCAAGTGTTGGCAACAGTAGAGCTGGGAAGCAAGGGCAGGAGTAGCCCTGGCCTTGCCTGGGGACCCAAGACAGTGGCCATGGGACCAGGGGAGAGATGCTCCATCCAGCAGTGGCCTGAGGCTCAGTGCCACTGGACAGCAAAGAGGGGGCCTGGGGTCTCTGGCTCAAGAGAAACAAGGCACAGGGCGCAGAGCTCTATTCCTTGGCACGCTAGGAAAGCAACAGGAGCGAGCAGAGGCTCGGGAGCAGGATGCCGGCGGGATGAGGGCGGCAGGTGCATGGCCGGCTCTGCAGAGGGGCCTGTGAGCGCCACGGCTGGGCCCACGCTCCGCAGTGCTGGCCTTCCACCTCACTAACCTTGGAGCCGTGGGATGGTTTGGTCTTCTTGGGGTCAGAGAAGGCAGAGAGTGGAATTGTGGGTAACATGGGGTAGTCGGGGCTGGGCCTGGACACCGTGTCAGCTCCTTCGGGCATTACCATCACCTAGTGACAAAGAAGAGACAGACGTTACCCACGGGCGCCATGTGACGGCCGTGGAGCTGGCCTCCTGGAGGGAGAAGGGACCATAGCCCAGCTGTCTCTGTGGACATTGGGGCCACACAGTGGGGCGTGAAGTGGCTTGGTGCTGGAGAGCAAAGAGCAGCCAGGGACCAGGGTGGCCAGGCCCAGTGGCCTCAAGGCCTCAGACGGCTCATGGCTAGCAGACCAGGGCCAAGAAGACTCCAGGGCCTGCAGCGAAGCAGGAGATGCAACTGGGGCCACAGACTGCGCTGAGAAGGACAGGCCCAGATGGAGGCACAGGGACAGAGGCCAGCCAGGCTGCACAGATAGCAGAGGGACTGGCACAGATGTGGCCAGGGCTGTGGGAGGCTGGAGGTGGCTGGACAAAACAAGGCTGGGGCCAGGATCCAGGCTGAAGACAAGAGCAGGCAATAGAGTGGCCGCGGGCGGGGCTGCTAGGGAGAAGGAAGCACTGACTGGACATGATGGCAAGGCTGCGATGAGGATGGGCCTCAGGTCCCAGAGGCACCTGCCCTGATTTGGCAGGCCCGAGACACCTGACACCCACAGAGGGCACAGAAGCTAGGATGTGGCCTCCGACACAAGTTCACATGGAGATGAGAGACAGTCACTCAGAGGACGGCCTCCTCTAGATGAGCAGAAGAACAGACACTTATAGTAAAGTGCTGAGCTTGGCAGAAGAGGTGCCCCTCAGCCCTGAGCACCTGGGGCTCTTTGCCCAGCCAGCCCGTCTGTCTGGGGATGCTGATGTGCCAGGGTCACGCGACACTGCACCGAAAGAGGCAGAGACTGTGGCTGCCCCACTGTGACTGGCTCATGGGGAGCCCATGAAACCATGAGACGAGCAAGTGCTGTGGAGGTCACATCGGTCCCCAGGTGGGTCTGGCCAGCACCCGCTCCTGGAAGCATACCTGTGAGGCCAGCGCCTCAGACTGCTGGGCCCATGTGTCCAGCACCTTCCAGAGGAGGAAGCCCAGCCCAGGTTTACCAGCTGCAAGGCAGCCAAGGGCTTCTGCTGTGTCCCTGCTTGGCTGTGTTCCTCCCCAGTCCCCAGCCAGCCCAGCTTCCAGGGCCAGCAGCCTCTGTTGGCTGCCAAGATGCCTGAGGCCTGGCGGGGATGGCACACACAGGTTCCATGGGTGCCAGGCTCCTTGCTGCAAATGCAGCTCTGGCCACCAGCACACAAGACACTGTCCTGGGAGCCCCCCAGCTGACCAGCAAAGATAGTGCAATCAACCCTGGTCAGTCCTGGGGACAGAGTAAATTCCAGAATTGAGAGGAACTGCTAGGACATAGGGCCCTAAGGGCCACAGCCCCTGAATCCAGGACACTTCATTTAGAAGGCCAGCACAGAGCCACAGTTACCTGGTCCTGGGAACCAGCTGAGAGCCATCGTCCCATGGTCAGGCTGCTTGAAGCTGGACAGAGCTGCCAGCTCCCCTAGGACTGCTCTGGGGTCTCAATTCCCTGTTCCTGGAGACTGGTGGAGAAAGGCCTTCCCTCCCCGCTCTGCCCCGATGCTACTGAGCTGTGTCCAGATGACGCCCTCAGAGCCTCATCTCCAAAGCTCTTGGCACCACCTCCGACGCAGCTGAGCTTGCAGAGGCCCAGGACGCCGACACTCCTGGGAAGTTGAGCTAGGGACGCCCACATACGCTGTGGAAATGCAGTGCCAAGTGCAGGTTCACTGAGAAGGCGGGGCAGCTTCTACACACAACCAGCACCCTCCTCCCTTCCAGGATTTCAGGGAACAGCATCATATCTGCACATACAACACAGTCCACATTCCCTGTGGCAGCCCAAGCCTCATCAGCAATATCAGGACACCTTCGGCTATGAAGAATGATGGCCACTCACCAGCACAAAGTTCAGCAAGTCTTAGCTGGAGAGAGCCCAAAGGGGTGCCTGACTACAAATACCCAGCTGCCATGGCGCTATAGAGGCTGCCTGACTCATGCCTGCAATTTCACACACACACACCACAGACCCACCACACCCCCTATACACACCACAGACTACCACTCACACCCCACCTCAGATGCACCTCACTCAGACCTCACCTCATACCACACCCACATGTCCACACCCCCACACACTTGACACAGACACACCTCACACATACATGCACACCCCCCCCCGCACCCCTCACATGCGCAGGTGGCTTCTGGTCCATGAAGTCAGCAGATGGTCCAGCTGGGGCCACCTGCCCTTGCCTGGGATGCATCCATTCCCACAGTCCACTGCAGGGTCACCCATGCAGCCTGGTGCCCAGCAGCAGGCCTGATCTGCTGGTACAAGGCCACCCAGGCCTGGCCATACAGACTCACTAGCCCCCTTCCCTGATGACTATGTGTAAAGAGGCGCTACTTGCCCCAGCCAGCACAGGCACCCCAGCCAGTGAGGGTACCCCATGTACCCACATGAACGCCCCACCTGCCCACATGGATACCCGGGCAGCTGGCAGGCACCAGGCACTCACCCCGCCGGCCATGAGCAGCTTGCAGCGGAACTCGGTGGTGGGGTTGTTGAAGGTGAGCTTCTCGCAGCGCAGGTGGTTGACGGGTGGGTTGCCCTCCAGGTTGAGAAACAGGTCATAGGTGAAGCACACTTTCCTGGGCTCCTCCTTAGCACACAACACAAAGGCGTCAGCAGGGGTGGGTGGCATGACACTGCTGGACAGGGCAGTTGGATAACGGCTGCCTGGCCGGGCGTTTCCCACTCACCCTCCTTTCTCCTCCCATAATTCTCTGGCTGCTTCTCTCCAGGCACCCAAAACAAATGACCTTACAAACTGCAGTTGGCCACGGGAAAAGACACAGATGATAGTCCCTTGCTTCATAGAGCCAGGCCTGCCTTGGGTACACAGCTTTGCCCATCAGCCTGCACAGCACCACAACACATATGGGAAACTGAGGCTCAGATGCCTGGCTTCTGAATGGCAAAATGCAGCCATGGTCAGGCCTGAAAGCCCAAGTCCCTGCCTGGTCTTCAGCTGAGTCCTGCCGTGCCCCATACACACATTCCTTGGGTCTCCCAAACCCAGACCTCCTCCTGTGGCAGGGCCATCCAGCTGTGAGATAAACGGAAGGGGGTGCATGGACGAACCACAGTGTGAGAAGTTCAGGTTTTGACTCTATGCCCTCAGGAGCCAAGGCGGGCTCCAGGTCACCACAGAAACCAAACCCGCCTGTGGAACCACAAAGAACCCAGGCGCTATCTGTCCCTGCAGACTTAGAACCATCTCCAAGTGCCTTGGCATGCAGGCTGCTAGGTGACACTGTATGACATTGGGGAGGACAAGGACACAGAAAGCTGGCCATGTTCAGCCTAGTAGTCCAGGATGACCATGACTTCCTGATCCTCCTGCCTCAGCCTCCTGGGTGCTGGGGTGACAGGCCTGTGCCATCATATTAGACAGTTACTTATCTGGATCCAAGGTCAGCTGACTCTGCTGAGCAGAGGCCAGGGACTGGAACCCGGGGATATGCAACAAAGATTGCAGGCCATGGGCACACCCACCTTTATGGACACCTGGCTTTTGACGGGTGCCAGGACAATTGGATGGTGACACAACAATTTCTTCAAATAATGGTGCTGGCACAATTGGCCAGCCACACACAGAAGACCAAACCAAGCTCACAGCACACACAGTAACAGGGGTGGGAGGAGATGGTCACGCAAGCCTGGGGACCTGAGTTCAATGCCCAGGAAGGAGGGTAGAAAGCTTTGAAGAGCCAGACATGAGACTGGGGGTATTCCTGGTCCCCAAGTTCCAGGAGCTTCAGAGACTTGAAAACCAAATGTATCAAACAGCCCTGGCTCAATGTGACACTGACCACTATCAGGGTCCAGGGGGGCTCTGGCCAGGAGCCTGTGACGGTATGCTATCTGATAGGATGTGAGAGCTGAGGGCCCTGAACCCAAGACACCCAAGGCCCATCTGGGAGTCACAGGTCTTGGTCATTCACAGCTGCCCATCTCAGCAGTGGTCACCTCCACCCTCTGGTTTCTCACTTGGAGGTTGGCCAGCATCATCCTAAGCTTTGGATACTTGGGGTGTGGGGTAGCAGCCCTGAGAAACCTGGGGAACCTCTCTTCCTCTTCTGCTTTCCATTGGGACAGCCCAGCAGGACAGCATAGTCACTCAGACAGCCCTGACGGAGGATCAGTCCTCCTCTGTGGCCAGCTGTTCACAGGCCCCACCCTCAGCTTCCATCCCAGTGGACACAGACCCTGCCTGCTGACAGGCAGCAGTTCCACTTCTTAGAAAAATACCCACCAACACCAGTGAGTTTCATGTGAACTTATTTTGTACTTGGGGACGGAGCCAATGAGACTTTAAAACACACACACACACCATTACATTCCTCTTGTGAATTGTTTAATAATCCTACACACAAAAAAAGCCAGGTGCAGCACTGGGGGAGGAATGTGGTCTTGGGGACCCCTACTCACCTCTCTGGCCAGGCTCCCAGGCTGCCAAGTGCTCCCCCACTGGTGAGGGAGCGTGACACACAGGGTCTCCCTGGAAGGAGGTCATAGCTTGAGCAATGACAGCTGTGCGAGCTCTAAGGAACCCATGGTGCCTGAGTGTGGAGGCCAACAATGTGCTGTACCCACATAGGGGCAGCGTGGTCCTGTAAGGCCTGGCTCCACTGGGTGGAACATGCTACCTCATCGATGTTGTCTGTTCTGATGGTGCCCCATCACTGGGAGGAGCCAGGCCAGCTCTACAGCAGAGCCTTGAGCTCAAAAGTAGGTTTCCATACCCACCCAGTTGCAGCAGCCTGGCCCATGCAGGACCAGGAAATCTGGCTAACGGGACAGACAGGAGGCAGGCTAAACATGGGGGCCCTGCCCTTGTTCCTCCCATGAGACAGAGAAGACGGCATAGTCTAGGGGGCGGAACAGGCAGGACAATGGGAAGGGCATGGCTGGGGACTTCCTAGGAGGGCCAGCCTGGAAGGTGGCTGGTACTGGCTGGCCAGCAAAGGGTCAGAGGGTAAGAGGTTGCAGCCTAGACTAGCAAGAGGTCTGGGTGGCCTGGGGGTAGCAATGTCATGGGGTATAGCATCCTCTCTGGGAACCTCAGCACATGATGGGGGCTTAGGACAGAGTGTAGAGAGTAGCGAGTCCCAAAGAAGGGTGTCAGTATGCAGAGAAGACTGGGTCCAGGGCAGCTCGGCTAGCTATCTCAGGGGATATAGCCTTCAGGACCCGGGGCTGGGCAGACCTGGCAGGCCAGGACAACCTACTCATCCTGCCTTCCCTACAAAAGGACACAAAGATGAGTGGACAGATGGAGGGAGGGAGGGAGGACAGGAGACAAGTGGAGGAGGGAGTCTCACACAGCCAGCCCTCAGCAGAAGTGACCTAGACAGGACCTGCCCTCTGGGACCATTAAGCCTCCAGATCCATGTCCCAGCTCAGTGCACAGCAGCCTGGGGGGCAAATGGACAGCACCAAATCTCAGGACAAGGGAGCTGGGCTGTTTGACAAAAACTTTACAAAGAGAAGAGAGGAAAGGAAGGAGGGAGGAAAGGGTGGGAAGGAGGGGGGTAGACAGAAAGACTGAGAGGGGGGTCAGAGGGAGAAGCATCAGAAGGGGTCTGACATCTTGGCCAGTGCGGCTGAGATCCTGACTACAGCACAGACTCAGCACCTGCTGGCAGAGGATGAAGGACCAGTAAAAATTAATCTTGTTAGTAACACAGGCAGAGTTAAGGAGACTGAGGTACACACTGGGGTGATACCTAGTGATGCCTGTGGGGCCAGGCTAGGGAGGGTTCCTGTCTTACACATAGGCAGATAGGCAGGAGGGTGCAGGTTGGGCAGTCCAGGGTGTCTCAGTGTACACACAGGGATCTGAGTGTGCCTAGTACACAGAAAAGGACAAAGGCCAGCAGATGGTCCCAGCCCCGGTCCCTGCCCCAGTCCCCAGGTCCAGCTCTCGTGTGACTTGACTGTGTGCTTGCATGAGCTTGTGTATGCACTCATGTGTATGTTGTGTGCACATCAGTAGAGAGCAGAGACTGATACTTCCTCCCAAGCTCTCCACCTCATTTCCCTGGCACCGATTATTTATCAGGCTGGCCATCAAACAGTTGCGAGATCCTCCTGTCTCCACCACCAGCATCCTGCTTTTTACATCATTTTTACATCCTCAGGCCTGCTGGGCAGGCAGGAGGCCCAGTTCTGCAGGAGGCAGCAAGGACCCCAGCTGCTTAAGTCACCAGGCTAACCCAAGCCAAATGAGACTCCCTGCGGGGCAGGACCGTCCTGGAAACACGAGGTCCAGCAGTGTGCCAGCAACCAAGGTAAGGTCCCGGTCACTGCAGCAGTCCCCAAGCTGCTGGACTCCAAGCAGTGGGGTAGGCTTCAAAACACACTCTGGCCAGGCCAGAGGCCACCCACACCCCAGGCCACTGGCAGCGAGCCAGCGTCTCTCCAGCCTGAGCCGACTGCACCGCCACTGAACCAGCCAAACCTGTACTGCTGCCAAAGGGCCAGGAACCCAGAACCTTGCTGGAGGGCAGGCTGTGGGCCAAGCTGGTTTGGGGCACTTGGACCCAATTCCCATCCCGGGTGCAAGAGTTAAGGACCCCCTCCCATCCTTAGCTCCTGGAGGCTTGTGCCTCTGCCCTGCCCTCAAGCACCAGCAGCCCAGAAGCAACAAAAGCTGTCTGCCATCCAAACGTGACCAACGCCCAGGTCCAAGTCCAAGTTCAGAGGAAACACTTGCCAGCACCTTAACAGGACAGAAACAGACCTTTTCAAAGTACCACGCGGAAGAAAGGGAGAGACTGAAGGAGGAGAGGGTTTGTGGGGGAGGGGCAGAAGAAGCTGGAAAGAGGCTGGAGAGACTCAGCCATCAAGAGCCAGGTCCTACTCTGATTCTGATTTAAATCTCAACCCAAACAGATGACTTCAAAAAACACCAGGACCCAGGGCTGGAGAGCTGGCTCAGTGGTTAAGAGCACTGGCTGCTCTTTGCAGAGGACTCGGGTTCGGTTCCCAGCACCCACATGGTGGCTAACACCCATCTGTAACTCTGGTTCCAGGGGACCCAGTGCCCTCTTCTGACCTCTGTGGATACTGCACAACAAGGGTGTACTCATACACAGCAAACTATTCATACACACAAAATCTTTAAAAGAAACAAATAGGGGAAAATAAAAATGTCTACATACACATATAATGAACATACATACATGTACATACATATACTATATATCACAAACACGGGATTGGATGCAGTTCAGTGGCAGGGCATATGCTTGGCATGTGTGAAGCCCTGGGCTCCACCCCGAGCAGCAAAAGTCCAAATGAAAAGCCAATGAGGTTCATGAGGCCAGATGCACAGGAAGTGGAACTGTCGAAGGTCTGGGTGCTGAGGGCAACCTGGCTCTGCTGCAGGTCTGAAACTGAGGTTAGGTGTTTTTAAAGCGTCTTATCTGCCACAGACACACAGTAGAGTATTTACTGATCACAGGATAAGATGCAGGCTCCTGTCCAAACTCCTGGGGCAGAGAGGAGGCCCGCAGGGGAGCAGTGGCTGTGGCGGCGGCTCTCTACTTCTCTACACATTCCACGTTTCTCTATATGAAAAAACACTGACTGCCC